TGCAAGTCTGCAGCCGGCCTGTCAATTCACCTTCGGGGTCATGCACGATAGAGGTGCGAGGTAGGGAGCGAATGTGATTAGGCGGCCATTATCTATGAAGATGCAGCGGACTCTCTCTCTCTCTCTCTCTCTCTCTCTCTATATATATATATATATATATATATATATATATTTTTTATGAATATATACGGGAGCGTGAAAGTTAAGTAACGTTCCGAACTTTTGAGACGCTGTGAAGCGGTTTTGGTGTGCTTTAAAAGCAATTAATAAAGATTTTCAAAAATAACGGCTTCGACATAGACATAAAAACTAACCTAAACGAAGTAGAATTTCTAGATGTTACCTTCAACCTAAGAAAAAGTACATATAAACCATACAGAAAACCCAATGATAAACCACTCTATATACACACATCTTCCAATCACTTGCCTTCTATAATCAAACAGGTACCAAAATCGATTAACTGCAGGCTTTCCGACAATTCCTCCAATGAATCCATATTTAATGAAGCTAAAAAGACTACGAAACAGCCCTAAAAGATAATGGATTCCCGGCAGCACTCACATACTCACCACAGAGCACAAAAAGACTAACAGGAAGAGAAATATCATATGGTTCAACCCGCCGTACAGCAAAAACATAAAAACAAACGTAGGAAAAATATTCTACAAACTCTTACACAAACACTTCCCGGAATCAAGCACCCTACACAAAATATTCAACAAAAATACAGTAAAAATCAGCTACAGTTGGACCGAGAACATGGCACAAATAATAAAAAAGCACAATAGCAAAACTATCAACAAATCACCCGAACAAATTAAACCCACGTATAACTGAGAATAAAAAATGAATGTCCCTTAAACGGTAATTGGTTACAAAACAATGTAAGCCACGGTAAAATCACCAGATAATGAAGAAAAAATATACATAGGAGTAACTGAAGGACCCTAGAAACAAAGAAACTATGCACACAAAACATCTATCACAAATAGTAAATACGCACAATGCTTTCTAAGTATATCTGGAAATATCTCCCCAGACCAAAATAAACGATCTGATCTCAACTCAAAATGCAGACAAGAAAACAAATTTTTATTACGTTACTTAAAAATCGAAACTGAAAAGAATAAATAAATAAATAAAAGAATATAATAATAAAAACAAATAAAATAAATTAACCTCAGCAAATAATAAACAAATGAACAAATCACTCCCGTTAGAATAGACGAAAAATAATAAATAAAAAGAAAAACAAGTAAAAATAATCAATCCAAATAAATAAATAAATAAATAAAATGATGAACAAATTAAAAACTGCACCCTTCAAAATAACAGTTGGAATAGACTACATCAATCAATCCAAAATCCAGTGACTCAGAGTGCTCGATTCATAGAACTTTGCATTATCAGCAGTCAGCAGTCACTGTTTACAAATTTTGTTGATGATAATCCATCTTTTGCGAGCTTTTTGACACATTATTATAACTTTGTTTTAAATTTAACCTTCCCATTTCCTTACCTTGTCTTACCCGTTGCATTAACCCTTTTTTTTTTCTGTTCTTTCTTCATAATGTAAATCCCCAAAGAAAACTTTTCAAGGTCAATTTATTTTTGCTATTGTTTCATCTTGTTTTTCTTCTATTTTTTATCTGTTTACGAAGTGGGGACCCACAGTTACTGGAATTGTCATATAAATTTATTAATTTATTGTTGCATGTTTATATTCTTATCACCTTCAAAGTATTCTCCATTTGAAGCAATGCACCGGTTCATATGTGTTTTCCACTGTTCAAAGCAGTCCTGGAACTCTTGTGAATGATTTTTAATGACTCCGTCGTTTTCTTCTTAGCCTCTTCGGCATCTGCAAAAAGTTTTCCTTTGAGGACTTTCTTCATTCGGAGAAACAAAAAAAAGTCGCGGGGGAGGGAGGCGAGATCGGGTGAATAGGGAAGGTGGGGAAGTGCGGTCAGAAACTGTCTCACACTCAAGGCGGTGTGCGCTAGTGCATTGTCGTGATGCAACTACCACCCTCCACTTTGCCACAGGTCAGGGTGTTTTCGTCTCACCTTGTCTCGCAAACGCTTCAGGACTTCGAAGTAAAAAGCCTGGTTAACAGTTTGACCAGGAGGAACAAATTCTTTGTGGAGAATTTCTTTCATATCAAAGAAACAAATCAGCATCGTCTTGGCATTGGACTTTTCCTGACGCGCTTTTTTGGGTCATGGTGACGTTGGATGCTTCCAATAACTTGACTGGTGCTTCGTTTCCGGGTTGTAGCCATAGCACCAGTGAAGACCTTCGAAAAATGGTCTGGATCCACTTCCAACTGTTCTTTCAGTTTACGACAGGCATCCTTTCAGCCATGGTAAAAATAGACAAAAAGGCGTGAATCACTTCAAAACAAATGTGAACCACGGAGCTGTACGTCTTCCCACGATAACACCAGTTAGCACATTGATGCCTGAGAGTTGCCTCAAGTGGCATCTAGCGGTGGGATCCTGAACTACTATGGGCTTGTCACACAGAAAACGATTCCGGTTACTATTGGTCCCCCCACCTCGTATATCTGTCTGTCTGGGATATATTGATTCCATTTCATAAAATGTAGTCGGTCTGATGAGATGAATATGCTTACATTCATCGAAATAAATTTATTACCGACTATGAATTTTTAAGGTCGTTTCTTAATTTATAATTTCTCATATGAACTGAAAAGTCTTCTTTGGAATAATCCCCACCAATTACAATTTAGTATATATATATATATATATATATATATATATATATATATATATATATATATATATTTTTTGAAATTTATAAAATCTTTCTCATAAAACCCATTTTAGAAAAACAGGTTTCTCAAGATATTATCGTTCTTTCCAGTATTGATGCGGGGGGAGGTCCTTCCTAACCTTTTATTTGAAGTAGTGTGGAATATTAACATCTTAAAACACATACACAGACACGTATATATATATATATATATATATATATATATATATATATATATATATTAGTTTTAAGGTAAACTATGTTTATGGGTTAAAGTGGTCAATATCAGGGACAGAGCGTATATAAATATAAACGTCAATACTTAGTTTGTTTCACGCTAAACACAATCGTCAGACCATATGCCTGGTTGCGTTTAGCAATGACGATTGCGTTTAGCATGGAAAAGACTGTCGCCTCTAGGTCTTGACTTCAATGTCCACTTTTATATATATATATATATATATATGTGTGTGTGTGTGTGTGCGTGCGTATACGTATATTTTTTCTCCGACGTTTTTGTTACTTCAAACGTTACTTAGTGGAATAGACATCACATTTTTATTTTAGACTGTATGTCCTATGCTCATCAGCTTGCGTATTCGAGAAATCTTAAAATGTGCTTTCCGGCAGGGATCGAACCTACATCTCCCTTTGTAGGAGAAAGCACCAATTCATATAATGTGAATAGCAAGAACGAGTCGCAATATACAAATTATTTTTGCGTTCTAATCAAAAGTGGTCGATATAATTTAAAATGAATTAAATTCGAGAGCTGATAAAAGCTAAGTAGTTAAACTAATAAGCAAGCTACTATAGTTCCGCTGGTAAGGTTCTTCTGGATTTAAAATAATATATAAATTACTTATATTTTTTTTTTACCGGAAAGAAAAATTAACGCTATTGCTACGGGGTTGAAGATTTCAATGCACTCGATCGGAAAAGTTCTGCTTGAGGATCTTCGATACATGTCATATGCGGAGAGGCCAATTCATATTTGCAAAGACAAAAGATATGTGTCTGATTTGTGCAAAACACTTGTGGATCAAGTTGAAACATCAAGAGCCTGGATTGTTTTTTTTTTCTCTTATGACGAAAAACATTGACCATGCCTTCCAAGAGTCAACCGAAGAAATGAGAAATGGCTATACAGAGACCCTAAGGATGTTCTCACGGTCATATAAATTAAGTTTTCGGTAACTGATTCTCGGGGTTGTGAGTAATGGAGGAGATGTCATGCTTCTCACCTCTTCCCTCGGGGCTTGGAGGTACCTATATATCGGAAAATTTGTGCCTGAGAATTTGTGTAAACGGCATATGTGAGAGGCCAATTTATGTCTGCAAAGGAAAAAGATAACCGTTCCTTAATTTCATGTTCTGTTAAATGGTTCTTTTTTTCGAATATACTACAATGAAGACATTTTTCTCACCTTGTATTCAGTATTTTGTTGTGTTTTAAACATATATCTTTATGACCCGATGACCGGATTTTTATTTGAATCTATTGTTCTCTTTTCGCATGTTATCACAATTTATAAACATTCTGATTGAGAAAGCCACAAGCAAAGATACAACTTTACAAACCGCTAACGGCTCAAGTTACCATTAGTACCTAAAGACCTATTTTATGATTTTAATTTTAGTGTGGAGTTGTGACGAATTCTTATTACTACAGATTTCGACCATAGGTTTGTTGAATCTATGTTATGCATTAACATAATATGTAAAATTGTACAAAATATCTTTAAGGGGCTTATCTATTGGTGTACATAAATATCGATATATGTGATAATCTAATGAAGAGAAAAATCCCATCATTTAATTAATAAGACCGCTTTAGTAGGCATTAGTCATGTTTCTATATAACTATATAGAAGTTAGAAATTCTATATGTGAATAGGTATTAATTTACTGCGATTACTTCTTGTTGAACAAAGCAATATTTTTTGTTTTTACTCTATTTATATTAGGAATATTATCCTCATCTTTGTTGTTGTTATCATAACGTTTTAACCCTAACCCTTCATCAGGTGTATATTGATCCGGGTAACTGAACCCTGTAGGTTGCCCTATCGATATACGTCTGATGAAGGCCGGAGAACACAACAGTCGAAACGTTGTGATAACAAAATCAGATATGAGAATAATAGTCTGAATATAGTGTAAATAATAACTCCTCATTCCACAGAAATTCTGACAGAAATTTTAGTCTTTATTGATATGTCTTACGGCCATATCACGTTGAAACACCGATTCCCGTCCAATCACCGAAGTTAAGCAACGTCAAGTCTAGTCAGTACCTAGATAGGTGACCGCTTGGGAATACCATATACTGGATCTGCGGGTGGTGTAAAGGATAACGGCTGGCAACTGGAAATCGGAGAGCCGAGTTTCAATTCTACTCGAGTTCGTTATATTCTTAATCGCAATTCCCTTTAGGGAAAGGTGTGAATCCATGTATTTCCGTCCAGCTATGGGTTAAACAGTAATTCTTGTATCGGTAAATAATTATTATCTTAAACAATTTTTTACAGTCTAAAATATTTTCTTACTTTAAATAACCTGGAAAAGCCGTAAAACACAAATGTCAATATTAATACACATTAATTTTTACTTTCTCCTTTTTCTTAAGGGTGTAGGCGATCATGGCTCTCCCCAATTTCCTATCCATTGTAGCTCTTATTAATGTTTCTTTTTTACACAAACCCATTACGTAGGTTACTTGACGTTTCCCTCTTTTCCATGTGAGTATCAAATTTCCAAGCTCTCTTTTCTCGATATGTATCCCAAGAATTCCAATTGTCTCTTTCTGATTCTAAGTATAAGTGTCCATTTCGCTTCCATTTTCCATAAAACTTTCTCATTGTTTACATGTTTCGTCCATGAAATTCTCAGTATCCTTCTGCTGCCTCATATCCTCCTTTCATTTCCGAGGAAATTGTCTAGCATTCACTGCCATATAGGAGGACTGATATTACATAACAGTTCAGTATGATTTTCTTTGTTTCTGTTGCTTCAAGTCTCTTCTTCGTCTATGTGGAGATTGTCCAGCATTCACTGCCATATAGGACGACTGATATCACGTAACATTTCAGTACTCTTTTCTTTGTTTCTGTTGCTTCAAGTCTCTTCTTCTTCTTTGAAGATATTGTCCAGCATTCACTGCCATATAGGAGGATTGATATTATATAACAGCTCCAGAAACCTTTCTTTGTATTCTCTAAATCCACCTGCAGACTCTCATTTCTGTTTTCGCAAGTTTCCCCTCCATAGAAAATTCGATACTTTTCTTTTTTCTGTTGATTCAAGTCTCCTCTTCATCTGGTAGGAAATTGTCCAGCATTCATTGCCATATAGGAAGACTGATATTACATAGCAATGCAGATGTTTTTATTTTGTTTCTAACAAATTTTTCATGTTTCTTAATACAGCAGAACCTCGTAACATGAGAGCACCATTCATTATACGAGAAACTTGCTTTACGAGCTGCCATTAGTGAGCATTTTTGTACCGTAGGACGTGTAAAAATTTACAGTACGAGCAGTCGTCATATAGATGGAAGCAGTCGGTGACTGAGGCAAAGGGAAGCATTGCCAGCTGACATCATCTATTTCTAAGAAAACAACACTGTCAAAGGCATATCTGTGAATGCCTACCGCCCATTACATTTGTGGCGATACTAAATAAACACAGAGAACCGGGTGTTAGTCGTAAGACGTTCAAAGAGATAATGTCATAAAGTGGTTTGTGCGCATGAGGATCCACGCATTTGTTCCGGTTATAAGTGAATAAATAACAAATTCTAATAAATAAAAAGTCTTAGCCAGGGTTCGAACCCAAATAATACATGATTTCAGCTGAGCCCTTTTGATCCCAAAAACAAGTATAAAGTGGTCTCTTTTTCAATCAAAACTCAAAGGGTAAAACTGACTCCAAAGAGGACAGACCACATTAAAGGAATCTCAACTACAGCGACCGATTGTCTCTCTCACCTCGACAAACATTAACCCAAAGAAAATCTCACATTAAAGGACACTTAAGCCTAAACTCCAACCAGAAAGTATCCTACAATCACCATACATTTATTCAATTCATTGGAGAAAATTCTTCGAAGTACTTATCACTGATAACGTCACCTACCAACGCTATCGATTGCCTCCCTTTCCCGATGAGCACGGAGAGGAAAAGACAACAAAGGAACTTCAGCTGCTTCAGGTGAATCAAAACATGGTGGAGATAAAGGAACTAGCTAAGGAGGAAAGTATGTCGGAGTTTGGCCCCCCTCTCCACACAAGTGAGATCAAGGAAGTCCTGACGATGTGGAAAAAAATTGAAAGACTTTGTTGAAAAATATCAACCACAAAAATTAAGTGCAAGGTCGTGTGGCTGCTTTGTTCAAAGAAAATTTTGTTGCCTATTTTCGTGTCATTTTGAAATCAAGAACAAAACAGATTTCTGTTGATAAGTTTCTAAAGAAACGACGTGCAAATGCCAAAAATGAATCAAATGCCACAAAAGTTCTCAAGTTCTGAGTGAAAACGCCAGAAACTTTATGAAAGGCTTGTAGTTTAATAAAAGCTGTTTATTTCTTTCATTCTCTCTTATCATGTTCTTATTTCATGTACTTTTGGGGATTTAATTTCGTACTGTTCGTTTTCTTATTCTTTTTTAATTCTAAAATAGACATTTTGGATGCTTTGGCAGAACTGGAACGAATTAATTAATCTTCCATTAATTTCAGTGGGAAAATGCTTTATAATACATGTAATTTGCAATACGAGCTCGGTCTGAGAACTAATTAAACACGTACAGCGAGGTCTACTGTAATTTTTTTTAACAAAGTTAAATCATGCATAGGCTAAAAATCGTTATCCCTTTGGCCCACCCGCTGACGCAAGAAAAACAAAATTTTTCGCCAAAATGTCGAACGTGCTAGAAAGGATTAAAAAAATTAATAAAATAATCAAAAAATACTTTTGTTTTTGCTCATAATAATAATGTAAATATTTTGATGTTTTTATCAAATTTGGGGCCTTTATTCATCATTCTTTTTCTTAGAAAATTTTTGGAGGTACCTATATTTTAGTTTTTCCAAGCCTATATTTTTTCTGAAAGTGTCGTCTCTACCTTGAACTATTTTGTAATAAAATTTCATTTTTATAAAAAAAAAAAATCTGTTAATGATTATTTATTAAGAAAAAAACACTCTTTTTCCTATTTTTAATTTATCATTTATTTCTAGGTGGAATCGTGGGATTATTGTTTATTTTGAGTTTTTAAAACACAGCGAAACACTAAATGCGCATTTATACGTCCAGCAGTTGCAACATGTTTGGTTGAGAAGCACCCTGTGCTCGTTAATAGGAAAAACCGTTCCCCGTGGCAATGCAAGGCTGCATAAAATAAGAATAAGATAGCTGAACGTTTGAAACTCGGTTGGTCTGTTCTATATTCACTTAATTTTCAAACAACTGATTATTTTCTTTTTTTTTTCTTCTGATAAATGCTTTGATGGGAAAACTTTCGCTAATCAAAACAAGATTCAAGATATTATTGAAAACTTTTTCGCATCAAAACCTGCAGAATTCTACTGCTCAAATAGCTGCGTGATAACTAGCAACAAGTCATTGCAAATAATGGTAAATATAAAATTGAATAAAATGTAATTGTAGTTTAATTTTTAAAGATTAAAGTTGATAAACAAAAAACAGAAAGTATGACCCAGCCTAACAGATCATTAGTAAGTTTCTACCTCATTGGGCGGCTCATGACCTTGTGCCAAAACTAAGTTAGGCTTAGTAAATAATTACAATGACCATTCTTATGTTACTGTATTAAGAACCGATCCGAATGACATCATGTTTTCATGTTCCGTTATTTCGATTTTCAGACAAATGTATTTTCTTTTTTTATCAGATAATACAATAGATAACATTATTCATATCGGACGAGTATTTCTTTCATCTTAATGGTTAGAAAACTGAATCTGTAATGAGTCATAAGTAATTTCTGTTTTTGGGAACCAATTGTAATGATAAATGTACCATCCTAACTAACCGTTCCTAAAATATATCATAACAGTTGATGAAGAATGGGTTGCATACAACAATGTTCAATGCAAAAAGCAATTAAATTGATAAAGATAAATCTCTACAACTATAAAACTTCAGCTCCATGGGAGAAAGGTAATGTTATGCGTGTGGTGGCATCGTTGGGACATTGTTCCTTTAGGGTTCTTAAAATGCGGTGAAACATTAAATGCACATTTATACGTCCAGCAGCTACAACCTGACCATAAAGATTTAACAGAAAAGCGCACTGTACTCGTCAATAGGAAAATGTTGTTTCTCTCCATAGCAACGCAAGGATGAATACAGCAAGAATAACACAAGAAAATAGTTTGGAACTCGGCTGGATTGTTTTACCCCACCCAACTTATTCACCTGACCGTGCACAAAACGACTATTAATTTTTGAGATCGCTACAAAATGCTCTGATGGCGAAAATTTTCTCTAATGAAAACTATATTCAGCTTGAAAACATTTTCACATCAAAACTTGCAGAATTTTACTCAATATATATAGAAGTGATTTATATATATATATATATATATATATATATATATATATATATATATATATATATATATATAAGAAGAGGTTATAGTATTTCCAACGAGAGAAAAGTAATTATGTTAAAAAGAAGAGAGAAGCCGCAAACTTTTTTGGTTGTAATGTGGATTTAAAAAAAAATATTATGTTTTATTTTCCATAATTTTGCTACACGGGTTTCCGGTCTTGCGACCGTCATCAGGCAAAGGGTGATTTCCACATATTATTAAAAATAATTCATTTTTTTCTTTATGTTTTTCGATGTTAAATATTCTCGATATGAGACATTTTCTTTTTTGTCTTAGTGATCCAAACGTCTTTCTTGAACTGGCAATGAAAGGTTCTGCGTGAAGGGTTATAAAACAATTAACATTAGTGCGAGAAATGATGTAGTAGTTATCGGCATGCTTATCTTTTAATGACCCCTGTGTGTTCTTAGATCTATTTCCATTTTCGTGTGCTTTTATCAGCATGCGTGTATATATGTGTATATCCCCTCTCCATATATACTGTCTCACTACGAGGAATCAGTGAACCCATCTCTACACCCACACACACACACACACACACACATACACAAACACACACAAACATATCGTCCCATTACAAGGAATCAATGCACATACACACATACGTACATACACGTACTTCCTAAGTTACATGGAATCAGTATACATACACACACATACATACACACATATATATGTACACACATACTTCCTAA